TAGCTCAAATATTAGTTTCACAACATATTGAACACAATATAGTGACATTAGAAGCAATTTAGTCACTAAGAATGTAAAAACGAGCAGTATTACGGCGGTCATTCCTAGGGCAGAGTCAAATTCAATTATAAAATCTTCATTGAAAATTGGCAACAAGCCTCGAAAAGTAGATAAATAATTAAAGATGACTTACCAATCCATTGTATTTTCCATAATATAACTTGTAATTCACAGTTTTAAAAGCAAAATTATCAAGCAATGTTCGATCTCAAAGCACAAAATCACTAGAACTTCAATGACAAGATTCTTTTTTTTTCTTCTTTAGACATTGCTAGTATTAACGTATATCATAGAGTCAAGTTCATAATAAACAGACTCACGGTCTTATTGCACTGGGAAAGATAAACAAACATACGAGTTTTGCCGCGAAATACGACCGTGTAGTAATGGCAGAATTCAGCCAGTCCACAGACGCGGCTTTTTTTTCTTGGCTGAATTCTGCCACCTCACAGACGAGAGGATAAGGATATAGAAAGATTATATAAAATTTTAAATATTTCCAAAGACATGAATCCGCTTAATAGTAAAGAGCAGAGCTCTTTTAATAGTGCAGAAGTGTGTTATATTTGTAAAAAAAAGTTTTGTTCTTCTGATTACAAAGTATATGATCATGACCATATCACAGGTAAATACAGAGGTCCAGCTCATAATTCATGTAATTTAAACAATAGAAAATGTAATTTAATTCCTATTATATTTCATAATCTTTCTGGATATGATTTCCATTTATTTATAAAAGAACTTGCAAGTGTATGCGGTCGTATAAATTTAATTCCAAAAAACAAAGAGAAATTCATTTCTTTTACAAAGTTTTTTCCAATCGATATGCAGAAGTCAGCGGAATTAAAATTTATAGACTCCTTTAATTTCCTGAGTTCAAGTTTAGATCATTTAGCACAAACTCTAAATCCTAAAGACTTCAAACATTTGCGAACATTCTTTCCAGATGAAAATTTATTCCGATTATGTCTTAGGAAGGGTGTATATTGCTATGAATATGTAGATTCTTGGGAAAAGTATAAAGAAACTCAGTTACCAGAGCAATCAAAATTTTACAATAAATTAACATCAGAATCTATAACAAGTGAAGATTATAATCATGCTTTAACTGTGTGGCAAAATTTTGGTATTAAAAACTTAGGTCAATATACCGATTTATATCTGAAATGCGATGTCTTACTACTTTGCAACGTTTTTGAGAAATTTAGATCCATGAGTTTGAATTATTATGGTCTCGATCCTTGTCATTATGTTTCATCACTTTCACTAAGTTGGGATGCTATGCTATTGTTGACAAGTATTGAGTTGGATTTAATTACTGATATACAAATTTATCAATTTTTAGAAAATGGTATAAGAGGAGGGCTATCTCAATGCTCGTTAAGGTATGCAAAGGCTAATAACAAATACGTACCAAATTTTAATGATGAAGATCCAAATTCTTTCTTAGTTTATTTAGATTGTGTAAATTTGTATGGTTATGCTATGATGCAGCTGCCTTATAAAAATTTTCGGTTTATAAAACAAAAAGAATTAAGAAATTTTGATATTAACTCTATTAGTTCTAATAGTAATGAAGGTTATATACTCGAAGTTGACATGCAATATCCACGCAATATTCATGATGAACATTCTGAATTACCGTTTGCAGCAGAAAAGTTAACAGTTCCAATATCATCAAACATTAGTAATAAGAAATTGGTTGCGAATCTCTATGATAAATATAAATATGTTATCCATTACCGTCATTTACAAGAATGCCTAAGAAACAAGGATTTGTTTTATTGAAGATTCATAGGATTTTAGCTTTCAATCAAAAATCATTTTTAGAGCCATATATTTCCCTAAATACATCTTTAAGACAAAATGCTACATCTGATTTTGAAAGAGACTTTTTTAAAAAACAAAACAATTCAATTTTTGGAAAAACTATAGAGAACAAAAGAAAACAAGTCGATGTTAAGCTAGTAAATGTATGGAAAGATAATTTTAATAACACAAATAAAGTCTGTGGCGCCGAAAAATATGTTAATGCACCTAATTTCAAAAATTTTACAATTATTTCTGATAGCCTCGTAGCCATTCAACTCCGACCGACAAAAGTGATCTTGGATCGCCCAATATATGTGGGCTTTACTATTTTGGAACTTGCAAAAAGTCATTTATATAATTTTCATTATTCTGTAATGAAGAAAATATACAAAGATAATAATATCAAACTTTGTTACACTGATACAGATAGTCTTTTGTATTTAATTTACACTGAAGACTTCTATAAAGATATGAAAGATTAAGTACTTTGATACAAGTAATTTTCTTGTAAATAATATATACCATATTCCAAAAAGCAAATAAACAAATACCAGGGAATTTTAAAGATGAATTAGGTGGTGATATTATAACAGAGTTTATAGGCTTGAAAGCAAAATTATACTGCGTTAATACTTTAAAGTCCGCAATTAAAAAAGCAAAAGGTGTGAAAAAGTATATTACAAAAAATTAACTATTGAAAAGTATAGAGATGTTTTAAATTCTAAGAAAACCCATAGAGACACTATGTACGTAATACGATCTAAGAATCATATACTTAATACGCAAAAAATAAATAAGCTCATTCTTAGTGGCAATGATGATAAGAGACAAATATGTGAAGATATGTATAAAACTTTGCCTTGGGGACATTATAGCAATTTATTTTAAATAGCATTATATTTTAACTAATGATGAAATATGAAATAATGTAGAATTAAATGATGAAATAAAGTAATAGTAATTTATAAAAAAATAATAAACATGAACATAATATGCAAATGAAAACAAATTACTTTATTTTGAATATTCTTTACTGCAAATATGTTCTATATTGTAACTAGTATATCGTAATTATAACTCTAGCTAAAATATAAAAAACCTTTATATGTAAGTTGAAATAAAAATACTGTATTATCATAATCATATTTTGTTTTATTTATCATCCCATTAGATCCTTAAATACTAAATATTAGATAAAAACAATAGATTTAAATACACTTAACTTTTACAACAGAGTTATACATGTCGAAAAAATTAATCATTTGTTTATAGACATTTTATTAACATAAATTTTATTAATTGATTTCAAACTTAAATACTAGATTTGCTTAGTTTTTTTACCACTTTACAAACTAAATCTTCTGTCTCATCCATGATGTCATCATATGCACTTGTCACTAGATATTGCACGTTCACAGCTGCATTTCCAGATTCAGTATTTATTTCATTGATATTACGACCATCTAAATCATGTATTATAATTTTTATTAAATGACGCACATCGCCCGTTTCTTTTCGCATGATAAATGATGTATTTTTCTTTTTTTTTCTTTTTTATTTTTTCCTCCGATTTTTGGCGACGGCTCTGCTCGCACGTCTTTGTCGCCACTTCATCGTACCAGCCTTGCCTATCTTGAGCATAGTAAAATGGATTAGTAATTGGGTTTGAGTCTTCTATCAAATTCTGAAAGCCAGATATAAAATTACTACCCATGAATTTAAAATCAATTAAAAATATTAAAAACTAAATAGTAACTTACCTCACGTATATTTTCTAAGCTATCCAAAACATGTATGGCTCAAAAATGTGTTTGACGTCCCGATGTCATAGTTAGCCCGGCTACCTTCAGTTTTTGAATAATAAACGTCGGGCATTAAAAAGTTAAATATACGCGATAAAATCCGTAAAAATTAGTTTCAGTAAAATAATTTTTATATAGGATATCTCAAATTGCATGATATTTACTGTACAAAATAGAATTAATAAAAATGATTTTTCATTTAATGATTTGAGAGAAACACATCAACAGCATAAGAAAATTGATTCCGAAATACGAGCTGATCATGAAGCACATTAACTCTATCCCCAAGGTTGAATCTCATTACTATTTATTAGAAAGAATTTATAGAAGGTAACAAAACTATTAAATATTTATATAATTATTTTAAAGTAAGCCAAGAAATAGCGAATAAACCACCAGGTACAAATATAACTTACTATAAAATATTTACGAATATATTTAATCTGTCAATTTTTCAACCAAAAAAGGATCAAAGTGATGTATGTAATTCTTAGTATAATACTAATGAAAATCTAAAAAAAAAATGGAAGAAAAACACTTAAAACATATAGAAGAGAAGGGTTATATTAGGGTTGAGAAAAAAGTAGATAAGAATATGAGAGTAGGTGTGTATGATTTAGAAGCAGTGTTTTCTTTAGCAATATATATATATATATATATATATATATATATATATATATATATATATATATATTCCTACTGTAGCAAATGCTCTTCCAGCAGTTATTCTTTGAAAAGTTTGTGGAGGCATATCGAACCAGGAACTTCAACGCGCCGCAGCGAGAGAGCGTACAGCTACTCGTCAAACATATGGCACGACTGTATCTAGGTCAAGCGGCCACGCCTCAATCGACTTGCACGTGAGCGGGTTCCGCCCCGCCAGTCCGCAGCTGCTTCCGACTAGGGTTGATGAGGATTCCTCTTCCTCATCCTCATAATGCGGAAGTTCCTCATTTTTAGCGATTCCTCATCCTCTTCCAGATCCTCAAAATCAGGCATAAAATATTCCTCTTCCTCTTCCACATCCTCATTAATTAAGAGGAATTTGTGAGGAAGTGTTGTTAACGTATTCAATGTAAATAAAAGTAATCTCTGTCTTTTGCTCGCTGCATTAGGTACTTTCACGATCAGGCTTGAACGTGTTTTAGAAACATAACACAGCACGCTATTGTGTCTTTCACTGTATGTGTGTAGTACTGTAGTGTACGTACGCGTACCCATCCCACTGTAGCCACTTAGCCTAGTTTTTGAGTGGTCGTACACTCGTACGTAACTAGAACTACGTAAGTCGTAATTAGGTTTATTGTTAGTGAAAAAGTTTATGAGATGAGGCCAAAATTTAGTGCTATATGGACGTATTTTAGTGAAGTGGACGCTGATACTGTTAGATGTAAAATATGTGACCAAACATATTCAAGGAAAGGGCGCGGGACTTCGGGATTAAGAAGTTATCTCAAGTCACGCCATGAAGTAGAATATGCCGAGTATGAACAAAAGAATACAGCATTAAAAAAAGCCGCGGTTGATAAACGCAAATTGTCGGAAGAGACTCCTCTTCAACAGGCTAAGAGACAAGTAACTTTACAGGAGGCATTACAAAGACATCAGTATTGGGATACATCTCACGAAAAAAGTTGCGAACTGGATAATTTAATTTGCGAAATGTTAGCTTTTCAAGATTTACCATTTAATTTTGTTGAAGGAATTGGCTTTAGACGGTTGATTCATGCTGTTCAGCCAAAATATAATTTAAGAGGACGTCAAAGTTACACATCTCATTTGTGTAATTATATTTATCCTAAATTAAGGAACAAGGTCAAAAACTTAATTAAAGATTTGCAATACTTATCTTTCACCGCTGATATATGGACTGAACCAGGAGCAGGAGTTTCGTTGCTGAGTTTTACAATTCATGGTATCAACAATGACTTTCAAAGAGTATCTTTATTTCTTAAATGTGTCCCACTCGAGGAACGACATACGGGCGATGTGATAGCACAAAAGTTGGATGAAATACGAGAGGAATGGAAGATTCCCCGTCAAAAAATACATATCATGGTTCGCGATGGTGGTTCTAACATGAAAAGAGCGGCCCGCGTGTCACAGATTAACGACATTGATTGCAATATACATCAATTGCAATTGTGCATACGTGCGGCCTTGGCGATTGGTGAATATATTTCGTCCTTGTTGGCAAAATGTAAGCAAATCGCGACACATTTTAACCACTCAATAATTGCCCAAAGCGAATTAAAAGGTTTTCAAGAACGTCTGGGTCTGCCTCTGCTTTCAGTTATTCAAGACTGTCCTACAAGATGGAATAGTATGTTTAATATGATTCAACGTCTAATTGAAATAAAGGATGCCATAGTACTTTATACCTCACAACATACAAATTTGCCGCAGTTTACTCCAAACGATTGGCTACAACTTGAGAGCTGTGCAACAATCCTTAAGCCATTTGAAGAGGCCACCAAGACCATGAGTGGTTCCGAAGCCTTCATCCGTGATCCCTCTAATCCATGTCTTGATCTGCACATTGCAGAATCTATTGAGACAGAATATAAATAATACTGACCAAACTTGCGGGAATATTATTCAAAAATTGATAGAAGAAATTACCAATCGCTTTGGTGAACTTCATAATAATAAGATCTACACAATCGCTACTTATTTAGATCCAAAATATAAAACTAAGTTTTTTAATGAATTCACTAAAGAAAGTATTGAGTCCGAACTGATTTCTTTATGTCAAGATCAAGAAGGCCATGGCGCACAAGCACAACCACAAATACAGTCATTCGAACATGATGTTATTCAACACAATCAACACTTTCATCATACCGATACCGAGAGCCTACCATCAACGAGTTCTGGAGCTAACTTTTCTACAGGCAGATTTTTACAATCAATGTTATCTGAGATGCTGGCCTCAGCTTCTAATAGTGACGATGAAGAAAGTCCAATCGCACCCATCGACAGATTTTTTATCCTGAAGTCACTAATAATTAATTATATTAAAGAGAAGAGAATAGCTCTTCAAGAAGACAGTCTTTTGTGGTGGAAAATGAACCCCAAATATTTTGAACTTTCAGAGCTGTGGGCCAGTATCTTTCAGCCCCTCCATCAAGTGTCCCCTCCCCAGTGAGCGCCTTTTCAGTGGCGCTGGATTAGTTTACGAAGAATTACGAAACCGTCTATCTGGAGAAACGGCTTCAAAGTTAATTTTCGTTAAATTCAACCTCCCTATTGTGAATTTTGACTATTAAATTGTCTTTTTTCTTTCTAAATATTAAAGGGCCCATTCGCAATCTTTCTTTTATTTAAAATTTCAATTCCAAATCACAGGTTCTATATTCCTCTTCCGCATCCTCTTCCTCATCCTCATCCTCATATCCTCATCCTCTTCCTAAATACGTATTTTTAATAGTTCCTCATCCGCATCCTCTTCCTCATAACCACTTCCTCATCAACCCTACTTCCGACGTAGAACGCACGCCACTCTCGCGCTTGTCCGGGCTATCGTGTTCGTTGATATAATTATAGTAGTCGCGAGGTGCATTTCGAGTTGTGTAAATTCTATTGTTTTTGTTAGACTGTCTTTCCTGTGTTTTCACTGTATACACTATCTGCCTTCTTAAATATTCTGTGTACTTGTAGACAATAAACGTTTTGTGCATTATATGTGGTGATTTTTATTGACACTCTAAAATCCCACACTGGTGACCCGCGTTTGAATATAAAACCAGTTAAAAAAGTGCAGTAGACTTAAAAAGTGTTATCATGTCGAAACCAACATCACAAGATGGCGTGGCGGAGCTAGTGGCACGGCTTCAACCGACACTTTTCGTGTCGGAGTTCGCATACCTCCTTTTTAGGCGGAGGAACCAGCCATTTGGTTCGCACAAGTGGAAGGACACTTTTCGTTATCCGGTATATCTGATGACAAAACAATATTTTATTACCTCATATCTCAACTTTATCACCGTTACGCAGCAGAAGTAAAAGATATAATTGTGTCACCTCCAGCTACAGGAAAATATGAACACCTAAAAAGTGAGCTTATTAAAAGGTTATCCATTTCAAGAGAGAGGAAAGTCAAACAATTATTGACACACGAGGAACTAGGCGATCGCCGCCCCTATCAGTTCTTAAGACACTTGCGTCATCTAGCAGGGAGTGAGGTACCGGACGAGTTCCTAAAGACCATCTGGATGAGTCGTCTCCCTACACACGTACAGACCGCAATAGCATCACAACTGCGAGCGGACTTAAACAGCTTAGCCGATCTTAAATCCCACAAGGTAAAGAACCCATTAATTGAGTTTGATTCTTCGTACTAAGCCTTAAAACATATTATACATTTATGAAGTACATGTTTTATTTTTCTAGTACCATTTACAAGCCAGAATTTTTGATTTAATGTACACAAAATACTTTAACTTTAACCAAGTTACTGTCAGTGATGTTAAGAAGAATATATTAGCCATTACTTCCGACGCAGTTGGTTTTGACAGCATTAGTCGTAAGATAATTATCCCATTACTCGATCTTTTAGCTCCTATCCTTACACTTATTTTAAATCGTTCCCTTGACACTAGTGTTTTTCCTTCATCCTGGAAAGACAGCCTAGTAACTCCACTCCCTAAAAATCTAATCCGACATATGAGGATTACCGTCCTATATCCATCCTTTCCTTTCTCTCTAAAGTACTCGAGCGCCTAATATACCTACAGCTGAGCAAATTCCTGTCCAATCATAACCTTTTGAATTCATTCCAATCTGGTTTCCGTCCCGGTCATAGTACGACTACGGCTTTGGTTAGAATCACTGATGATATTCGCCTGGGCATGGATAATCAACAGGTTACAGTATTGACATTGCTTGACTTTAGTAATGCCTTCAATACTGTAGACTTTGATGTTTTACTCGCTGTACTAAGTTCTCTTAACATATCTCCTGAAGTAATTGGTTGGTTTCATAGTTACTTGCATGGGCGCCGGCAACGTGTACAAATTCAAGACACGTTTTCTGATAAGTCTGCTGTTAAAGCTGGCGTCCCACAAGGTGGCGTGTTGTCTCCTCTATTGTTCTCTATTTTCATCAATTCGATCTGTTCTCACATAACTTCTCTTTACCACCTATACGCAGACGGATCTCCCTAATACAATTAGATTAATTAATGAAGATCTTATTCGTATTTCTCATTGGTGTAATTCATTTGGGCTTAAAGTTAATCCATTGAAGACTCAAGCCATTATTATTGGGAGTTCAAAATTAATCTCTCGGTTAACTTTGTCGCTGCTCTCGCCAGTTATATATGAAGGAACACTTATCCCATACAGTGACAAAGTTAGGAATTTAGGTATTATGTTCGATCAGACTTTGTCTTGGGGACCGCAAGTGAGTGAAATAAGTAGAAGAATGTTTGCCGCAGTTGGTTCACTTCGAAGACTACGCAATGTTCTCCCCATTCCTACTAAAGTTGCGCTGGCTCAATCTCTTCTTTTACCGATTCTTGACTACGCGGACACTTGTTATCTTGACCTAACAGTCGAGCAACTTAATAAATTTGAGCGGCTTCAAAATTATTGCATAAGGTTTATATTTGGGTTACGAAAGTATGACCACATATCCGAATTCCGCCATAAGCTCAAATGGTTACCGATTCGCCTTCGCAGGAATACTCACATTCTTCATCTTCTTTACTGCATTCTGTTCAATCCGACCACTCCTTCTTATTTGAAAGACCGATTCTAAATCTCTTCCTATATTTAAAAATAAATTAAAACTTTATTACCTTTCCCCTTAAATTACTACCTGTCGTCATTCACTTTTTCTTTCTTCTTTCTTATCTTTCTATATTATATTCTGTACACCCCTTCCGCTATCTTTTAAAAATAGTATCCTCTGCCCTAAGGTTGCCTGGAAGAGATCGCTGTTTTAGCGAAAAGGCCGCCTGTTGTACCAATGTCCCTTAAAATTTATAAATACTGTAATATGTTCCTTGTTGTACAATAAAGTATATTTTACTTTACAAAATTAATCTCTGACTTGCATGTAATAGTGTTTTGTGTTCTTTAGCTATTACTAGATGAGTAATTCTAGGTTTCTTTACAAGTATAATAGGATTTTTTGTATTATAAGTGCAGTGTTGCATTTTGTAATCTGCCTCCCACACGCAACATGCCATTACTATCCAGAAATGGATTAAAAGGGCTTAAACTACCCTTAACTGGCTTATTAGATCTCAAAGACGCAATTCTCTTTGCGTAACCTTGATTCTGATCATATTTTATTATAATATTCATTGCATTTTCAAGCTCAATAGGTGAAAAACATTCTTATTTTCTATCTGCCCCTTTTAAGTTTGCAATTATTGAGAATTCTAAAAACATATGCTAATATTTTTTTCATTTTATCAATATCAGAATATTTTTCATATAAATTTAATTTTTTAGTAGTAGCTAAATTACATATTTTTATAATTTTAGATTTAATTCAGATAAACGATGAGGTATCTCCAATGTAATAGAATTTTGTTCGAATTCGTACCTATTCATGAATTGTGGTCTACGCCAACATAGCATGTAACCTTGTAAAAGACGAGTCTGAATTCCTTGAGATATACAGTTGTTTTGACATAAAACCAAGGATAATCAACAGTAAATTCTTTAATTCTTTTTATTTTGTTGGCCACATATGGCTGTAGTTTTATTGGTTCTATGCCAAGCCCTGCTAGCACAATTTTTGAATCTAAATATAAGTACACATTGATATCAAATTTTAACTTAAAACCCTTACGAAGGCGAAGGCTTATTACGAAGTCCTTTGGCCATTATGGTTAATAATAAGGCATTATTTAACTCAAGTCTGAGTGTGCTTAGCTCTTTATTGATAGGACACATCCGAGATTTTGAACATAACAAGTTCATTGATACAGTACAATCACTATGAATAACTCTTTAGGTATAAGCAACAATCGTATGCCCTGTTAGAGGCATCGGCAAACTCATTTAATTCAACCCTTCTAGTACCTAATAAATTAATGTCTTTTAATTTTTTTACTTGACATATTAGTAAACTTTGAGCAAACATTTCCACTCATTTTGTAATTAATCAGGGAGCTCAGCATCCTATTGCAATTGCAAATTATCTTTGTAATATATTTTTTGCTAATACAAACAATGGGCCTATTAGACCTAAAGGGTCAAAGAACTTACTAATAAATGATAACACTTGCCTCCTAGTATATTGTTCTTGTATTTTATTTTTAAAGAAAGGCAGAGTTGAGGGTGTTATACGTCGTCATTTTCAAACTGGTACTATGGCAGTCGAAAATCGTGGTGGTAATGAAAATTTATTCGAAGTACGCTCTCTTAGAGAGGCCGTCGTTAAGTACATTAAGACCTTGCAACCTTTGGAAAACCATGCACGCGAAAAAGATAGAGAGCGTCAATACCCAAACTCAGGGCTAAGTATTAAAAAAAAAATGGAAAATGTACTGATTCATGTAATTCTGGGGTTTGCAGTTTCAGTTTATTTCGCAATATTTTTGTTACAAAATTCAA